TGGGGGAGTCACTGTTCCCCCGAGCACTGCCAGGAGTGACCAGGAATAACAGTCACAAGCTGGCAGAGGGTAGGTTTAGGTTAAACATCAGGAGGCGCTATTTCACGGTCAGGGCGGCTAGGGTCTGGAACCAACTTCCAAGAGAGGTGGTGCAGGCTCCTACCCTGGGGGTTTTTAAGAGGATGTTAGATGAACACCTTGCTGGGGTCGTTTGATCCCAGTACTTCTTCCTGCCATGGCAGGGGGTCGGACTAGATGATCTGCTCAGGTCCCTTCCGACCCTAGAAATTATGAAACTATGATATCCAATACAACCAGTTTTCTTTATATCAGTACCAATCTGATACTGGACCAATGTATCGATGCATCTCTAGTTCTAAATGTCACACTTGGGCTCGCAACGATAAAAAATGGGGTCGCAAAGATGCTCAACAGTGTTGACCAATTATAATAAATACAATTCCTGTTTATAAATATGCAACTCATGTGCATGGCAGTTATTTGTCCACACACAACAGTTGCGGCTTCAATGTAAGACACTTGTATGTTACAGGAAGCTGACATGAAAATCAGTATGTTGATACTGGCTGGATGAAAGTTGTGCTGGAACATTCAGGCCCAGGTGTCACACTAGTTCAGGTAATAGTAAAGCTTTTAAATGGGATTGAGCAGAAGAATTTGTATGTAACCATGTTTATCTGCTAAATAATTTCTACACTAAGTAATGTCAGTTTAATGTTCAGGGCTTCTTCAATGTGTGTCATTTGTGGTTTAAGACTATCGGATGGCAGGCAGGTTATAATGTACCATAAACCCAATATCTATATTTAGTCCATGATTTTTTGTATCCAGTAGACTTATGAAGTGAAGTTCATTGGCTCATCTACGAAAGGTGTTTTGTAAATTCCCTTTGAGGGATTAGAACTGAGAGATTGGAAAGTGAGTGGTTGTCTTGTGAGAAGTGTGCACCTACACTTAATTGGGTATTTTTGTCTTTGATAGATTTTTGGTGTGCATTCATTCTGGTATACAGTGGTTGTTTCGTTTTTCCTACATATTTTCCATCAGGGCATTTAGTGTACTGGATAAGACACTACATTTCGGGAGGTACAGGTATGGACAAGTAAGATCCAGGAATGGACAACAGAACCATCACAATTCCTGGACTTAATCTGCCTGCCATCCAATAACCCCAGGTAACTGCTCTACATTTTACCAGCTACTTTCTATCACCAGGTCAAGATTCCCCTCTTACCCTCCACAACCCACCTGTCTCACTCCTGACGTCTCCCATGACCTCTGATACTCAACAGCCAAGCATTTGCATTTTCACAGACCTGCAGTTTGCATATTGACTTCTATTCCATCCAGGAGAACACAAAACAACAGCAGACTCTCCCTATGCCTGAAGAAATGCGTTTGTCCCCAAAAGCTTGCAAAGAACATTTTTTCCAACTATTTAGTTGGTTTAATAAAGATATTATATTTACCCAAAGAACCTTGTCTGCCTAAAGGTTTTATGCTTATTTTAGCAAAGCACAGAGAGATTAAGAAGTATACTTAAGCAAGTGGCAGAGCCAAAAATAAAAACAGAGATCTGGAGAATATTAATAAATATTTTAATATATTTCAAAATATACTTACTGGGGGTCTTCTACCATGACTGGTTCTCAGAGCCTGCTGAAAAGCGGCATCATTTTCTAAATCCTAAAATAAGTCAAAAGCATAACAGTCATCCAAAACAGACAGATTTTAATTCTAAACTACTTTTACTTGTTGATACAGCCAAAATACAATTTTTATTGTCAGTAGGCTATAATTATACTACTTGATCAATCTATTGAAAACTTTTCATAGTTTCATAGTTTCTAGGGTCAGAAGGGACCTGAGCAGATCATCTAGTCCGACCCCCTGCCATGGCAGGAAGAGCACTGGGGTCAAATGACCCCAGTAAGGTGGTCATCCAACCTCCTCTTAAAAACCCCCAGGGTGGGAGCCTGCACCACCTCACTTGGAAGCTGGTTCCAGACTCTAGCCGCCC